GGGGCCCCCTGCCCCTCCGCCGCCTGGCGGGGACCTGCCAGCCTGGCCTCAGCCCTGGGCTTTATAAGGGCCGGGCCCTGCCTCCTACAGGCAGCTGGCTCTCCTTGGTTGCCCTGGCAACCTGCAGCTGCGCTTGTTACCCTGGAAACCCTCAGCTGGGCTCGTTATGACCTGCCAGGGCTCTGTCTCTCTCTCCCTGGCAGTTTCTCCTCTCTAGGAGCAGAGCACCGAGGTGCCCTGCAACAGTAAGAAATATTGGGCCAGGTTGCTTTTAGTGGCTTATTTTAACGCTCGTTTTTTAGTAGTCAGGGTAACGACTGGGGGAATTGGCCTGTTTTTCAGGCCTCTTTTACCCTAATGGCTATTTAATAACGGTTACTTTTTGATGTTTGATTTTTAATACCTAGTTTAGATTAGTTTTATTAGCAACAGTCCCTTAGCCTTTATGGCGTTTTCTGGAAAACTGTTGTTTGGTCAGTAGGAACTCAGTATTTGCTGGTGGGGGTTTTGCCTAATAAGGTATTGCTTTGTTTTCACGCTAGAACTAGACTTTTGGGGGTTTTTTTTGGTTTGGGCCGGGAAGTGAATTTATCTTTTATTTTTAAAGGAGGCCGGAGGGATTTTGAATTTTTTTTTTTTTTAGGCCGAAAAAAAAAAAAAAAAATTATATATATATATATACATATATAATTTTTTTTTTAAGCGGCATTTAGGGGGTTGGTCTATTATTTGGGCGAAAGGACAGTTTTTTTTAAATTTTTCTTCACATGTTTGCAAGGCTCATAATATTGAAGGCATTTGTTGAACTCTTTTTTAAAATTTTGAGTAATTCTTAATTTTTTTTTATTTTCTGATTTTTTTCTTTATTTTACTTTGCAGTTGATAAGGGATGCTGAATTGATGTTCTACCTTTGTTTTTCACACTACTGCTTTACTATCTAATTTTTAAAATGAGACTTATTGTTTATTTTTAAACCGTGTTTTTTTAAAATTAGTTTTTATTTTTCTTAAAACTCGTATTACTGCCTTTTTGGTTGCTTTGGCCATAGGCCACACTTTTGGCTAGCTTGTGGCTATGTCTACTGCCACTAATATATATTTCTTTTCCTTGCTCATTGTTAAAGGTTTGAAAAAATGTATTTGCCAATTTTTTTTCTGGCTTTAAAACCTGAATGTTCATTTGCCTTTTTTCTGGGTATGGGGACCGCTGACAACTGCTCCACGCTGGGCATTTTTTTAGAGCTTGTAGCACTTTTTGTTCTGCAGGTTTGTTTGTTTTTTCTTGTCTAAGGTTTTTTGCATTTTTTTTTTTTTTTTTTTTTTTTTTATGGTCAAAGACATAGGCAGATTGGGCTAGTTTAATAAGCTGATGTTGGAGGGGTGAGTGAAAGAGTTTGCCTTAGCTTTTGAACGGGTTTCAGGAGAATTATGTTTTTCATGTTTGGTTACATGTTGAATGGCTATTTTAATTTGGCCGCTTATTTTCCAGGTATGTTGTGAAATTTCTATTTCTTAGATTGGCCTGTTCTTTAGATGTCTTTTAGCCTTTTTTTTTTTTTAAATAGGAGATTTATTTAGTAGGGTTTGTTTGGTTTTTTTGTATATACTTAGCTGTTTGTGTATACTTTTACTTCTTTTTAACCTTGGTTGATTTTATGAGCAATTTTTTTTACTGTTTTTAATTTAGATAATTGAACATTTCTTAAAACTTTATTTTTACTAATTTTTTTAGAGAAAGGGTAGTTTTACGTTTATGTAGCCGTTGGTCTGTTTGCTGTTTTATTAGTGAATAGAGTGTGGGGGTTAGCAGGGTTAAAGCTGTTGGCACAGGTTATGGGGCTTACAGTTTTTCATTTTATAGGGGTTTTTAGCCACGGGAGCACAATTTTTTTTTTTTTTAATATTTTTTTTTTGCCTTTTAATGCAGGTATTTAGTTAACTGTAAATTTTATTTTAGCTACTGGGTTTGGTGTGGAGACCCCGCGGAAGGGCTTTTTTTTAAAGTAGTTAAAATTTTTTGGGCTGAGCTTGAATTTTTAAAGGGGCATTTTTTATTTATTTTTTTTTTTCCTCGAGCTTAAAAACTCCTGTTAATATTTTCTTTTGCAATGGTTTATATATAGTGAGTTGTTGTATTGGATAGTGCTTGGCTTTATGCTTTTAATAATTTTTAATTCTTTCATTTTTGGCAACTTTGCTGATGTAATACTGGACTGATGGTGTGTTTTTGGACTTTGGTTTTTAAAAACTTAGGGGTGTTAGGGTTTACAAGGAGTAGGGGAGTTTTTTTTTTAAATAGTTTGTATTTTGGTGATTTTTTTTCTTTTTTTTTTTTTCATGGCCATGGTTTATTTTTGACTCCCAGTGTTTGATAGAGCGGGCATGCTAGGGCCGCAAAGTTTGGTATCACCGCCCTACACCACCTCATCAATCCCGACTCGGACTGTAGTTTTTTTCGGGTCCAGGGTCGGGGAAGTTGGGTTAATGCTTTTTTGGTCTGTTTTAGAAATTTTAGGCTTTGTGAATTGAATTGCATACTTAGGTACTTTACTGAGCGCTGTATTTATTGCATACATTTTTGTTCGTTCAGAAACCGGCTGCTTCTAATGCTTGTAGCATTTGGTGGGAGATATTGGCACACTCCTTAGGAGTGTTCGTTTAAATTAATATGTCAGGTACATCACTTTGGACCTGCGGCTGGGAGTTAAGGGCCTTTGTACCTGTTGATGTGTTAATATTGGGGAGTTGCACCAACCCTGGGGCAGGCACAACGGCTGATGCTATTTCCTTTTGAACGTTAAAGCAAATGTTTTTCAGTCATTTTTCCTTACTGGAATTGCTCAGAAACAATTTGAAATGTGATTACAGTAAAATGGGAAGAGCTGGCCTTTTGGGCTGCATTTTCCATTTTGGGAAGGGTGCTAATTACTGGGCTTGATTTTCTGGGTTTTTTTATTTACTTCTCGATAATTTATTACCATTCTCTACTTTCCACTAGCCTTTCGCACAGACTAAAAAGGGGAGTTTTACTGAGAAATGATAGACTCTACCCATCTGGTTTGTAATAATCTCTGCACCATTTCACTTACCTTTTTTTCAGCCTTGGGCATCAATGGATAGGGACGCACAACACGCGGCTTTACTCCCCTCTCTGTATTTAATTTGTATTTTAACCTTGGTATTCCCCACATTCTACTTCGAGCGGACCCATCGCCTGTTTGTGGGCATGGGAACCTTTTTTTTAGGGCTATTACTTTCTGGCGGTGTTTGTTTATAACATAGTAACTCAGGATGTTGGTTCCCAATATTAATATTGAGTGTCGAGTTGTGGTTACTACCATTGGGACTTCTCGCCTTTCTAGCTTTACATACTTTTAATTTCCCATTCTCTAATTGTTCCACCGTCCACTGCTTTCAGCACTATGGGGAGTGTATTGTGGGGTGGGTGTTCCCATTGGAAGATTGTTACGTTTGTCCCTGTATTTATCAGGAACTACCTTGCCACCTCCCTCCCTTCAATTTTAATTAGGGAAAAAAGGTACCCCCTGGAATCCGCAGGGATTCGCCCCATTTGGAGTGAGGGAGGGGGCGTATTTCGCATCCCCTCCCCAGGGCCCCCTACTTTAGGTGCAGGTCCTTTAGATTGGGATACAGCCTGACCGGAGTGTTGTGCTCTCCTAAGAGGGGGCCTGAGGGGACAGCTGCAATTGCATGGGAGTTTTTATTCCTTTTCTTTTCTTATTTTTCTAGGACAGTTCTGGATACTAGATACCAAGTCCCGTTCCTGCCCCTCGGTGTAGTTCGTCATCCTCTACAGCTTGAATCTCGATGGTGAAGACCCAACAAAGCCTAAGGGTGTGAATGACTATGTGGAGAGTTGTCTTTAATTTGTTGTGCATGCCAGAGATGGTCTCCCTTTGCATAACATACACTCAGGAAAGAAACAATGCTGCAAGTCTACCTCTCAGAGGTGGCTTAGGAGAGCCTGGTTAAGGGGTTTTCTTTCTTTGTTACTGCTGAGCTACC